CAGAGGAGGAGGCAGAGGAGGAGGCAGAGGAGGAGGCAGAGGAGGAGGCAGAGGAGGAGGCAGAGGAGGAGGCAGAGGAGGAGGCAGAGGAGGAGTGGTTTTCGAACATTTCAGGCATCTTCGGGGTACAGTTTCGCTTGTCTCTCCTTCCACTCCTCATAGTCCATCACATCGGCGTCCTTGTTCCTGGTCTCGGGGATGGTGAAGAAGGTAATGATGGCGCCCAAGACATTGCAGGCGAAAAACACCCATAGGACGTTGGCGAGCCCGATGATATTCGGCCCGCTGAGATAGTTGAACAGCAGTGCGGACAGGATGGCGCCCAGTTTTCCCACGGCGGCACTGGTGCCGTGCGCCAGCCCACGCACCCGTGAAGGATAGACTTCAGCCGGGATAATGAATGTCGTGGAGTTGGGACCGAAGTTGAAGAAGAACTGCAATTGCCAATACAGTTAAGAACTCATTGCGCAATTCAATGGACAATGTTTTGGCGTCAGACGTACCTGGGCGAAAGCGAAGCAGACGAATTTTCCCGCAGTCCCAAGATGGTCATAATCGCCAGCTATGATGGCAAACATCAACGCAACGATCAGGAACCCTTGGATCTGGATCCAGCGCCTGCCGAGCTTCTCGATAAAGTAAATGGTAAAGAAGTATCCGGGAACGTAGCCGGCGACGGCAATGATCAGGTTCCCAATTGCGTTCCGCATCAGCAGGTCGTACTCATTCTTGCCGGTGTTGAAGCCAATCTCATCGAGCAGAACGGATTGGTTCAAGTTCGTGCCATAGAATGCCACGTCGAGCAGGAACCATGTGGATGTCGTTCCCAGGAGGACCTTGAGGTGCTTCCATTTGCTGAAGTGAACAAAGAAAGCCTTGTATTTCGTGCGACCTTCGGTGCTGGACGTGGAGGTGAGTTTGTTTTCGTCGGCCGCGGTCGTCGTATCGATAGAAGAAAAAGGCCCGACACCCATTGAGACACTCGGGTTGCCGAGTGAGTCGAACTCCGGGTCCTGCGCAGGCTTTGAATTGTCGTGGTTTTTGGCTCCATTGGAATTCGGCGCGGCCGAGTGACCGTTCAGTTCGCGAGATTGCAGGTACTTCCTACCTTCGGGCATTGTAAGACGAAAGTAAAGTGTGGCGAAAGCCGGAACAAGGCCAAGGCCCATCTGGATTCGCCAAACAGCATCTAATTGGCCGTAGTGTCCTTCTGCACCCAGGGCGTGGCTGAACGACGCGAGAATGATGATTGTCGCAATGGAACCTGTGAGCGTGCCCTGAGAGACAAAAACCGAGTCAGTTGAAAAGGCACTTTTGAAATCACTGCACAACTTGCTCAACGCAGAGCTTCTGGCGTCCCGATAGCTCTTCAATGTCATGACTCACCCAACCCTGGTTAGAAAAGATCCATCCCAACAGTTGGCCACGCTTTGGCAGCAGGGACCTCTCTGACACGATGGATGCGGACATGGGATAATCGCCACCGATACCCACGCCCATAAGTATTCGAAAACAAAAGAGCCAAATCATCTTCAACGTTGGTGTTGGTATGTCGTTGGGCAAGCTGATGGTGAGGATAGTGCCAATTATCACGACGATTAGCTCCTTTCCGTAGACGAATTTTCGACCAAAAACGTCTCCGAGAAAGCCGAATGTCAGCTGTCCGATGATGTTGCCGATGTTGGAACCAGCATTGACGAGACCTCGGAGGAGAGGCGGATAATGAGGTTTACGACCATCCAGCCCTCCCCAGTATCTGAAATAAAGAATCACGTCTTAGTTGCTGGACGACCTCGAGAGCGTGTTGGTGGAGGGGAGAAGCTTACTCGTAAAGCCAGACTGGCGTCACCAGGTTAATGATGAACAGATCATAAGAATCAAGGAAGAAGCCAACGCTGTCAAATATATCATTAATTGTCGTTGATTTGTTTAGCCAGGCGAGTGGACCGTACCCAGTGATGGCAAACATCTTGAGGTCGCCCTTGGTCAAGTTCCACCTATTCTTCTTGGTAGCAGTATCCGAGGATTTCTTTTGATACTCCTCCTATTCAAACCGATGAGTTCAAAGAGCGGATGCAAAGGAGCCAAGGCAAGCTCACAAACGTCACCGGTCTCCCATCATCGTCTCTGCGCGCATAGCCATCGTCCTCCCACTTCATAGTGGACTATGGATAAGAGGATCGAGAAAAGAAGACCGGGGTTTCAAAGGGTAGTGGTGGTGTTTGTTGGAAGTTAGGAACGCCCAATTGTGTTTCGCAATAGGCATCAGATGGGTCCAAAAATCGTTTTTGTCGGCCTTGATCTCGAGCAGGACACTTTCCATTGACCTGTCGTCCGACGAAGGGCGGTAGTACATATAGTACAACGCCAAATGCATGCCATTATGCATAACTGTCGCCACAGACGGTATGCCATGACCGTGCAAAAAGAAAACATACTCAATAACTTCCTAAAAGCGCCACTGTGTGATTGTGTTGTCGAGGACTCGAGGTCGACACCAAGATCAGCATTGCAAAACGTGTTGTAGGAAACCCCATTGATTGAACCAGATCTAAAGGCCTCGTGGGCCTCGAGATTTCAGCGCTAGCCTATGGTGTGATGTATGATAGATAAAATATAGCAAGGGAGAGATCGCACAATAGCGCGTGAGGTTTTGGGTCGCCGGTGTCCAATTGCAAGGCGTGAGGCTGAACCTGGAAAAGGCTCGTAGTTACATGATAGCCGCACACAAGCGGAGTGACGTTATTGGACGGCATGAGTGCGACAAGGATAAGTATACGAGTCCAAGTAGAGTATCGAGTATAACAAGTACAAGTACAAGGCTGGGGGCTCTGGGAAGGCGTCAGCCTACAAGAACATATACTTGCATAACCAGTACCAGCCGGCGGCGCCGAGGGGACCCAGAACTGGGGAAGCCCCCAGGTGCTCTACTGTACTTGTGTAGAGCCCCTATTGCCCCTGCTTGGTAGGCCAAGGGCGGCCTAGTGACCCTCCACATCGTACTAACTTCAGTTCGTCTGGTAACGTGTGATGCCGATGTACGGCAACATTCGGCTATGGCTGGTTGACGGCTTTAAATTAAAAAGTACAGAGTATATTGGTCCATCACCCAGTGACAGCAGTTGCTTCACCCTCGTGCACTCCTCCGTTAATATCGACAGGCAGCTGGGAAATATATCCGTCCTCTCGTCCCAATCGTCTTCCGACCTGAACTGTCGCATGGGCAAACTTATATATATCGTACCATTTATTTGGCCCCTGAGACCGCTAGTTCATGTTACTTTGACCCTGAGTTTCTGCTGAAGGTCCCCTACTCATCTGCCCGAGAGTTTCCCTAGCTTGTATCTGACAAAATAAGCCTTTCTCTCCCTGAGGTATACCGTTCAGAAGGAGACAGGCGCACATGATCCAATGCGGCAAAGTCTGAGAAGGATTTATCCCCATGAGCAGACAATGGAACAACCACTTCGGGATCAATCACGTCATGTCAAGGATCGACCAACTTCGCCCGCTTTTCGCGGCCACTTGCTTCCGGCTCGCTCTTTCAATTGAGCGATGATCTGAGATCGCCTTAGGTTATATGTCTCTACAAGTATATTGTCGGACGTAACATCATGGACACCGAAGCCGCTGCGTCGGGATGGGATTATGCGCCTGACAAACTGCCCACTTCAGCACCCGGTCTCCTGCATAACATCCCGCCACCTTTGCTCTTTTAACCCCAGCACGGCTCTCATCTCCTCTTCCGCACGCTTCTTTAATCCCTCTCCTTCGGCTAGACGGTCATTGTCGATGATCTGCTTCGCCTGCTCCTCCCGCTTCTGAACCAGACTGAGCAGATCCGTCAATGCGCTATCATCCAGCCGTTTTCGTAAATCCGTACATATTCTGTGCCGCCAGTAAATCACCCCATCTTTACTCAACCCCCGATTTGAGAGATCACGCAGCCAACTCTCGACCTTGTCGCCGGTGACTCCAGAAGGGATCGAGATTCCTAAAATCGCATCCAGTATGTCAAGCATGATGAAGATGGTGTAGATGTTGGTGGGGTTGTGTCGACCGACCAAGCGCTGTGGATTGACGAGAAAATAAATCCGAAGTACGTTGACCACGGCTTCGTCCAAGGCCTGCTGCTTCAACCCTTCCAGAATGAGTCTCATCGCCATCTCGGGGAATTTGCCCGTGGTGTAGAGGGCGGGATATTCCAGGAAGCGCTCTGACTTGTCCATACCGGCGGCGGCCTTTCGAAAGGCGTCAAGGCTTCGTTTTTCTGGCGCGAGATGGCGTTCAACTGACTCCGTCCATTTGTCAAACTGGGTGGGGAGACTCGGTTGCTTAGCAGCTAGGTCAGTAGCGGCTTTAATATCCGAGAGGCATTTAGGACAGTTGCACGTAAAGAAGTAGTCCGCCATCAATTTCGCTCTCCGGGCTTTCGCCGACGCCGTGGGAACAATGTAGTAGTTGAGGAGCTCTTCACCTTGCTGGATGTCCCTCAGGGGAATGACGTGGATGAATGTCCGGCGTTCAGCGTCTGAGAGCCGCGTAGAGCTCATCCAGCGGCTGATCATGGTATGTTGAGGCCTGTGGACGGCCAGATTAGGTTCACAACTGTGGTTGAACTTGGCCACGAGAGGCTCCAACATAACCCCTATTCCCCCCTGGATCGGCGTAGGCAGCTCGGTCGCATTGGCCTTCATGATGAAAATGAGCCTCTGAATCGTCTCAATGCCCATGCTCGACGCGGCCAGATGTTTGATGCCTTCAGCCATGTCCGTCAGGTTTGACCGACCTCGCGCAGCAAGGATCTGTTCGTGTGAAACCAGCTGCGAGATGCGGCTCCATTCGTCGCTAGGCAGAACATCTCGGTCCTTGAGGAGTACTACCCGCAACACCGCCCTGAGAATGGCTGGGGGCAGGTTATTTTGCAGCTTTTTGAAGATCTTGCATTCGTACTTGTGATACGCATGCCAGGCGTCAACCTGGCAGTCTTTGCTGCAGAAGCGAGCAGAACGACAGCCGTTGCAGATCTTGAGATGGAGAGATGTTTGTCCATGTCCTGGGAGGGGAAGGGGACTCTCCGTGACAACGAGGCAATGATAGCACGTCATCGGTAAAAAGTCTGAGTCGATCGCCATCATGGCCGGGAAGTTTAATGAACAGATTGGGTCTTTCACGGACAAGAACTGTTTTGCGAAAACTCCTTGACCTTTCCCAGGTATCTGCTCGACTTTGAGGATGTTTTCATATCGGCTGTCGATATAAGACGCCTCCGGGGCATTGCGTTGTTGAATGAGCGAGTCAATAAGGGCGTCCAATTCAGCCATGGCCTGGACGTTACTCCTGCGTATCTGGGTGAGCTGTAGACAGTGGGGATTCGCAATGGACCAGAGACAGTTCAATATGGACGTCTTAGGATGCAACAAATCGCGCGGACTGCTTGTTAGACTGATTTCCGCGTATGCGTGCAATCTGGCTGGGAGTCATGATCGAGCCCGATTTCAGCTGAGGGATTGGCCCACAGCGTCAATTGGGCACTCGAATTTGATAGAATCTATGCCTTTTCGGTCAAATGATGCTTGGGCTGTTTGGGGGGAGTTCGGGATTTGACTGCGAAGAAATGTGCGGCCCGCCACGTGAGCTTACTTATGATCTTGGCTTGCCCTATTAACACAAGGCTCCTTTCCCTTGGTGGGCCTGGAGAGTTCGGCTACAGTGGCAACGTGTCTATCTAGATTACTCGCGGACCAAAAACCTAATTGCCATGTACGGTTTAGTCCTAGAGGGTGAGGCCACAAGCCTGCGACGATGGTTATCTGCTTGAAAAGCCTTGGGTAATAGAGGTCTCGGTGGTACCAGCTTTGATAGAGCTGAGAGGCATGCTTGTGTGAGCTGGACTCTTGTACTCTTTCTGCAAAGTTCAGCAATAATGCAAGGCTGCTTGAAATTCGACAACTCACATTCTGGCTTCCACAGTCATGAGAGCTGTCTCGACCCAGTCTCATAATTCGCCAAAAGGCAGCGCCCCCTACGCCAGGGGGAGCGAATCTGCTTCAGGGAGGTCGCCGTGGTGGTCTTCGCGACTAGGGTCCGTCCATACCCAGGCAGAGGATTTCATCTCCTGTTTCCATGAGTTGACTCGAGTCCCATCCGGGGCTCCATTAACCTGATGGTTTCGTGGTATCCCCTCCTCGGCCCTATTCTACATTATTCGATGGAAGCATTTCTTCGTTGCCAGGGTCCATCCTCTGGACTTTTCTCAATCGTCCAGATAAGACAGGAGCCAGAATCAGCGCTCTGAAACACAATCCTGGGTGCCCTGTATGATGCTCTCTGGCCACGCAAGCCACTGGTCCCACCGCTTCCCCAAATATTGATGGATTTGACTCAACAGTCGAATACCTGCGTGCCCAATAGCCCATGAATGCCTCCGTCGATGGAGCACCACCGCGTAGTGTGCCAGAAGAACAAGCGCTTCAGGCTTGCGCTGATCGATGAGGTCAGTGAACGGCTCAGACAATGTCACTAGCCAGCTGAACGCCTGGTGTGTGGATGCTGACGGTTGATCTAGAGCGTTTTCGCTATCGAAATTTGTCTGCAACATGTCTAGGGACGCTAGGCATGTTGCAATGGATGAGTCGCTGAGGTCCGCGTGGTCTAGCATTGCGCGCAACGCTTCGCACTCCCCGCGCGATTCTTTAGGACTTTGTTGGTGCTCCTCCGATTCCATGATGATCGGCCCAATCTCACTCTTGACCAGAGTCCCAAACCAGGAGCGGATGACAAAGTTAATACCGCGCAGGAGGCGGATACAACCGACTAGTCTTTCGAGGAAGCTGCCAAAGTCGGTCTCGGGCTGCTGCGTGAAGATCTCCCAGAAAACATGAAGAGCAATCAAGTGCGAGAATAACAAGACGTCCAGACAGTTCGACGCGTCAACCCTGCACAGAATGTCGCGATAGCCAGCGAGCGCCGCAGCCTGTTGATTGGCTGCGATATCTAGATAGTAAGCAGTCGCCTGAGGTCTCTGAAGCGTCATATGGCATGCGGACAAAGCGATGATCTGGTCCAGTAAGAAATGCTGTTTGAAAGATCGCTCAATGATGATGCGACGATAGAGCTCGACCTGTCCTGGATCGATAGCGATTGTGGTGCATGTTTTGGTGATGAATAGATAAAACAGCTCAATGTGGTCGACGTTGGATCCTGCTCCAGATGAACCAGGGCTCAGCGGCGGCAAGCTGCTGGCAGGACTACCTACGAGTGGTTGTTGATGTCCGCGTGACGCTTGGTCTGTGCGTCGAGACGCGGGTATTGAAGTCCCCTGTGAGGGAGCCACCCTGTATATACATTCTCTCTTGGAAAAGGCGCATTTCCCGCACACCGGTCGCTCCTCGTTACATTTCAGATGCCGTTGTTTGCAGGTCTCACAGCCGGCACGCGATTTTGTGGTGGATCTCCTTGGCATGTCGTGAAAGGGAAGAGTTGAGCATGAGACTAAAAATGGTGCTATCTTGGGCAAATTTGCGCCGGGATTGACGAGGTATGTTAGATTTGAAGTTCCTTGGGCTAGAAGGGCACCACAGGCCTGCTAGTCCAAAGCCCCCCATTCAGAGGAACGAGAGCTCGGTAAAAATGAAAGAGGAGAAGCTAGCCGCCGCGCAGATGGCTACTATGAATGGACTGGTAAGGAGAGAAAGTCTAGGGTTGGATGGGGGACAAACGAGAGTGCACCGCTGTGGGACAGTGAGGTCGTGATAGATGTAAGAGGGCAGTATGGTGTTGGGTAAACGACTCGGTATGAAGGGAGAACGTCTGCGGGCACAAGCAGGCGTAGAGTAACGCCAAGCCGCTAATGGCCCAACACTCGCATTGCCAAGATATACCGCACGCTAACCCCAAATTAGGTTTTAAGTGAAGCGGCTATCGATTCCCCAAACTTCAACGTGGCTGCCTAGCCTTGGCGACCCAAATACCCAGAAATGACACCATGCGCCGGCACCACGAAGCAAGTCTCGTTTACGTACCACCCCTATCCACTGTTTCCTCCGCCAACATTCCTATACTTCCTTCCCCGTATCTGCCCTCGTCTGTAGCTCAACCATTAGCGGAGGCTTCTCCCACAGCGCAAAAGTGCGCTGACTCTCTGTCCACCCTTGACTTTGCGGAGCGAGCCTCAGGTCAAAATTCCAGAGAACATGCGCCAGGATGAGGCGCATCTCATGGTAAGCCAGATTGCGGCCGATGCAGTCTCTTGGACCGGTGCTAAAAGGCTTGAACGCGTCACGTTGGTCATGGGAAAAAGGAGAAGCTGGATCTCCCTGCACCCCTGGAAGCCAGCGTTCCGGACAGAAATCTCTGGCACGGTGGAAGTTGGTGTCGGAGTGATAAGCAGACATATGGTGGACTCCGACGCATGTCTATGAAAACATCAGCGAAATGGCGCGACATCTATCTATCTGAAGGCTCACTCACTCTTTCAGGGATGTCGTATCCGTCTACTATCGTCACTTGGCCAGGCGGTGTATGGCGAAACAGAACCGTCGGAACTGGTGGAAACAGGCGCAAAGCTTCTTCGAGACAAGCAAGCATATACGGCAGTCTACTGCTGGCCGTCTTAAAAGATATTTCCTTGCTGCTTCGGAATGCACTGCGGACTTCCATGACACATTTTCCGAGGGCCTCCGGCGTGCTGAGAAGAAGGTAAGTGACGCCACAGAGCAGAGTGGCTGTTGTCTCGGAGCCTGCCACGATCAAGGTGTCTGCATTGGTCACAAGCTCATCATTGCTGAGCCCGTGTTCCTGACCCTGCGAGCGCATCATACAGTCGATAAAGTCGCCTCGATGCTCCCGATCCTTTTTCTCAAGTCGCCTTGTCACCAAGACTTTGACGAGGTCCAAGTGCTTTTGGCGAGATTGCTGGATTTTCTCTCCGGCCACAAGAAGGAAAATTTTGGATAGCAAAGGTGAGGCGTTTGCAAGCACGAGGATCGGGAAGAGTCGCATCATTCGCTCAATGTTGGTCACCCATGCGTTTTGTTTGCCTGCTTTCAGACCATCGAAAGACTCTCCGAATGCAAGGTCGCCGATGAGATCAAAGGTCGTGAACGTATACCACTGCACCATATTGGTCTGCCGTCCTTCTGCAGCCACTCGACAAAGCTTGTCAATGAGCAAGTCGACATATACCTGGATGAGATGCTCTTGTTGCTCGAGCGCTTTATTCGAAAATGCCGGCAGCATTGCCCTTCGAAATCGAAAGTGGGTTCTGGCATCTGCAGAGATGATGTCGCTCGGGCGACCACTGTCGCCGTGTCCGGTACCCTTGGGGAAAACCTTTGGAAGCTCTGCATGTCCGTGTCCGTATATGTCCCTCCAGGATTGACCAGATGTGAAGGTGAGTTCATTTGGCCCCAGTCGAACGACGTTGCCGTATATTCGGTGGTACTCCCGGATCTGAAAGTCGAGCTGCCCTCGAAGTTGCGCGATGCTTTTGAGAATGGGAAAAGCGATCCATAATTTCGGTCCGTCGAATCTGCGGAGAGGATGGAGGTAGAGATTGTGTATGGCCAGCAATATGCTCCAGCCGACATTCGCGGCTGCCAGTGACAGAAGAATGCACAAGATCCCTTGCCAGGACACAATACGAATATGCTCGCTAGCCACAACCTTTAACATCGTGTGGGCAGAATCAAGTTGATTCACTGCTCGTGTTCAACGGACACAAATCGATCTCTACTATGTAAAAGGGATTTATACGCCGAGCCGATGCGCGGAGGAACTTTATGCTTACCTCTACGTTATCCATGATGGCCAAGCCAACAATGTGGTTATCTCAAATTGCAGGCTGGACAATGGTGCCCATGTTAGACTTTGGGGCAGCCCGGATCCACGCTCGTGTTCGTATACCCGTGTTCGGAGTTAGAACTGTGTCAGACTCCTTTCAGACTAAGCAAGGATGGTCGCATTCAACAACTTAGATCCACAGTGACTATAGCCAACTATGTCCCGGGCTTTGACTTCCGCCCCTGCCCTGCCATGCGAAATCGTTTGATCGGCTAGGAGCCGTTATCGACGCAGAACACCAAGTCTCCAGGTGATCGTAGTCTTAAAATGTTGGTCTGTGGGCCGGTAACCGCACGTTGACGAAGACTACCGACACCAACTCCTTTTCACTGGCATTCTCTCATACTCAGTCATCGTTTGCACCATGGTTGATGCTCAAGCAAACTCTGTGAAGGTCGAAGAATTCAGATTAGAAGCAGCATTGACAAGCTGTGAAAAAGCTAACTGGCCTAGGGAATCGGAAGAAAACGACACGGCTGGCCAAACCAGTGTTCAAAACATCGATGGCAACGGACACGACGAACCCCGACCTAATATTTATGACGATGATGTTGAGAAGGGGCGAGGAGGTGTTGGAGATGAGACTAAGACGAACCCTGGGTTTCTCGTCGGCTGGGACGAGCCTGAGGACAAAGATCCAGCGAACCCGTTAAACTGGACGCCTCTACGAAAATGGGGCATCATCGCTGTTTTGTCCTCGATCACATTCTTGACGTGAGCACGGCGTAGCTGCAACGTCGAGGAAACCTTGCCGCTAACACTCTCAGGCCGCTCGCGTCATCGATGTTCGCACCCGGTGTACCCCAAGTCATGAACGACTTCGGTAACGACTCGTCTATCCTCGCAACCTTTGTCGTGTCGATTTTCGTGCTCGGCTTTGCGATCGGTCCGCTGCTACTGGCCCCTTTAAGTGAGATAATTGGCAGGACAGTGGTCTATCATGTATGCAATGTTGGGTTCATTGGGTTCAACGTTGCTTGCGCTCTTGCCGCCAACATGGATATGTTGGTGGCTTTTCGCTTCGTCGCTGGTTTCGTTGGAGTGGCTGCCATAACATGCGGAAGTGGCTCTATTGCGGACATGATACCTCAAAAAGAAAGAGGCAGAGCGATGGCCGCTTGGTCAATGGGTCCTTTGCTGGGACCAATTTTGGGACCTGTCGCCGGAGGATTCTTGGTCCAAGCCAAAGGATGGCGGTGGTCCTTCTGGTAAGACTCCTTGATATTTTGGTCTCTCTCACGCGGGTGGGATACTGCTCGGCGATTAGCTGTGAGCGGCCGCATATTGCATTTTATCCCTCAAGATTGCTCAGCCTCACTCAATCGAAACTGACTAAAGGTATTTTTGCATAGGGTCATAGCAATATGCGTATGTCGAGCCTCAATCTAATCTCATTGCACAAACCATGAACCACTAACCCTCGGCCAGGCTGCTGCAGTGACCGTGGCTGCTTTCCTTGTCCTTCGAGAGTCGTACGCTCCAGTGTTGCTCGCGAGAAAAGCCCGCGAACTCAGGGAAAAAAGGGGCAATCCACTGTATCGCTCGAAGCTGGACAATGGAGAGACTCAGAAACAGTTGTGGACCCGATCGCTTGTCCGGCCCGCCAAAATGCTTCTGCTATCACCGATTGTCAGCCTCATGAGCGTTTATGTGGCAGTGATGTATGGTCTGCTGTATATTCTTTTCACCACATTCACCTTTGTCTACCAGGATCAGTACGGATTTTCCGCTTCGTCGGCTGGACTCTCGTTCCTAGGGGCTGGGATCGGCACGCTCCTGGGGTTGTTCTTCGTTGGAGTTGTCAGCGATCGCGTCGTCAAAAAAGCAATCGCCATCCGTGGTTCAGCAATGCCGGAGGATCGCTTGCCCTGGATCGTTATTGTCCCAGCCGGGCTATGCCTTCCCGTAGGTCTCTTCATATATGGCTGGGGTGTGGATCGGCGAGTCCATTGGATCGTCCCCATGATCGGCAACGCCATCACAGGATTCGGTATGATGGGGGAGCTCATGTGCATTCAAACATACCTTGTTGATGCATTTACGAGTCACGCAGCCAGCGCCATCGCGGCCAATGCAGTCTTGCGAAGCCTCTTGGGAGCCCTTCTGCCGCTCTGTGGTCTCAAGGTATATAATGCTCTAGGATTTGGTTGGGGTAATTCTTTGCTGGGGTTTATCGCCTTGGCCCTCGCACCACTCCCGGTGTTTTTTAAGCTCTACGGCCAGAGGATTCGCGAAAATCCCCGGTGGCAGGTCAAGTTCTAGTAACGGAGACTTCCATAGCTTGAAGATCCATATTGTGAATCTTGGACTTGCTACGTGAGTTGTGGTGGCATCCAGAACCCTGTTTCGAACCGCCGGTGTCGATCATTTCGGACGTGGGATATGGAACAAATGCAATGGTTGAATCGTCATTCTGGAGGCATTTGCGATTGACCGACATTGGTGACAAATGCTGTAACAAAATGGCCGTGAATCACAGCTGATAAAATGATGGGCTACAAGCCGCGATAGGCTGATGTTTCGAGGATGGACGTGGTCTAGTTGATCTGTCGATCAGGGCAGTCTCCGAACACGAGAAGTCCGAGGGAGGGTCTTCAGATCCGCGAGCCAAGCCTCGTGTCCGTATTCATTCCGAGCAGCCCTTGGAGTTTCAAATGACGAAGCTACCGGCCCATCAACACTAGGATGCGGCTTTCAAAATAAATGCTTCTCTTGGATGAGTGGTAATTATGTCCATTGGACTGACATGCCATTTGCCATGGCCTTCCTGCTGCTGCTGCCCGATCGAGTCCGCCTGCCCCGTTTTCGTGAGTTTGGCCGAATTCTTGGCAAGGCTCCATCTTCAGGGGAAGGCGAGATGGCACAGCCCTACCCCTACACTACGACTGTTGAAGCTTTTGCTGCAGCGACAACGCTATCTGCTTCAGCCTTGTAAAAAAACAAAAAACAAAAATATTGCTGCCTGGGCATCATACCTTGTAATTGGCATCTGTAGACGGACTACCTCGTACCCGGGGGCCCGCGGGTGTCGATGCAACAGTGGTTAGATAGGGCTTTTGGCAAAGGCCGTGCGCCCGGGCTATCTTTAGGTGATGCACACGAATATCGCAAAGCTTACAGAGTTGCAATAGTCACAATATGCGCATGTTTGAGAGGGATAAGAAGGGACCCCAAGGCCCGGCCAAAATCCACCACCTCCTTCTCGGCACTCTCTTCAACGATTGAGGGAGAATTATCCAGATCGCCTTTCACCTTTTCAAAATTCTAGTCCGATTCTCTGACAGAGAGCATACAATGGCCTTCTTCGACCCTCGATACAAGCTCCGAGTGCACATCCTGCAGATTATCCTTGTCCATGTTATCATTGGTGTCGCGGCACCGCGGCTCTTCATGAAAAACCAGCCAAGAACTCGGGCGACTACCATCTCGTTGGCCATGGTGAGTGGGATATCATATCCCTTTCCCTGTTTCCCCAGTTTTGGCTGTACCCACGCTGATCATCTTGTGATTCTTGCTGATATATAGGGAGGCAAATCCATGATCATCGTCTGGTACCAGATCCTGACGGAGCACGTCGCCCGTTTTCGCAGGTGGAGAAGTCTCAAGGCCTACGCGATTCTCAACGGCCTGGAAGTCGTTTTTTGGGCCGCAGTTGTGTTCCTGGTCATCCAGGCGAATATCCAACGCTGCGTCGGGACTGGATGTACCCTCAGCTGGATCGCCCTCGGATTTGCAGTCCTCACAACGTTTGTCGTGACACCCCCAAGTCATGAATAGGAGCTGACGCCGACAAATCTGCAGGCTTGTTGCCGTGTACATGGCTATCCTGTCGTGTTTCGAATACCGAGTGTTTCGTCAGCAGAAGCATTCCAAGATCCGAAGCAATCCAGAGGATGGTCTACCCCTGGCTAGTGGACAAAAATGAGGTTTCTGTGCCGAGAATGTGAGTTTGAAGAAAAGGATATTGTCCCTAAGGCTGGGTGATTGTCAAATTTGGGATTCGGAGGCGGCGATCGGACGACATCTAAGTGAACAAAAAAAATTCGAGCGTGTCTTCAGGACTCGAAGATCAGCTCGAGACGCACCTCATGACAGGCTGGTCCGTCAAGTGGGTTGCTATTGGTGTAATCCATGGATGGTATGGAATTGAAAGCGTTGGCGGAATGTTTTGGGCATTAGCCTATATGGGTGAGATCTATTTGAGCAGATACATTAGACGTTTTTCGGCGCAGCGGGGGCGGGTGGTAGTTTAGTCTTTAGATGAACCTCGCCAGGGATTTTGGTTATTTACTGGACGGACAAGAATGTGTTTGCGTCACTTCTGCCATCCCTGATCTGTTCCTTTGCACTCGATTATGTAGAAAACCCAGATGTATCAGGAGTTCGAGGTGAGCACTGAGCACAGGGGGCGTCGCCCACGTGTGAAAAGATGGCAGTCTTCAAGCGATTTTTGACTGACTTGGCGATATCATCAGGGTATTTTCGCGGCTTTGCTAGTTAAGACTGAGAACAGTGTCCAGTAAACGGATAGCATTGATCTGTCTTGAGAGATGCGTCTATCTTTCTGTCTCATAAGGGAGACTTTTCTGTTGATATAGACGTTGACCTTTATTCACAAGGCCATTCCTAAACATTCCATCGCGACGTCGAAGATGGGTGGACACGTTTCCGGGCGAGACTGCCCAGGTAGTTGATGATCAAAACCTCAACCACAAGAACTGATGCGGCTTCATATGAATTCCAGCCTTCCGCAAGTTAATCATATACCCACTGACCAGGTCCATTGTCTCAGCAGACATTCCCATAAACCTGTCCCGGCCGATCCACTGGGCTTCGTCCGAGAAATTACAAAGACACAGCACGTTCGAATTGGGCCCCGGTCGTTGGTACCCAAGAATCGCGGGATTGCCGGTGTAAAAGCCAATCGCCCTACCACCAGCAAGCTCCTCTGTGGTTTTGCGCAGATGTATTAGGTGTTTGATCCCAGCAAAGATTTTTCCTGGGATGGTGTTGACGTCGTGCCGCTCGGTATAACGTTGCTCGGGATAGCAAGGCCGATTGACCCATCTGCTGTCATCCATTTTGGCCGGGTCGTTGAGGTAGCTGTAGTCGTTGAGTTGACCGAGTTCATCGCCCAGGTAGATGAGGGGGATTCCGCCTGTGCTCATGGCGATCGAGTACGCGAGCAATATCCTCTCGATGGCGTGGTCTTGCATCGACTCTAAACCCGCTAATGAAGCCGTGGTGCCAGATATTCTGCAATCACCTGTCCTCGGATTGTCCTGAAATGGTACCCCTCGAGCAAAGCTGCCTGGATGGCGGTTCACGAAGAACGCATTGAGAAATTTTCTGTGATTCAGACCGTCCTTGCCAAGTTCTTTTGCATCCTCGTCAGAGAACGTCCAGCCAATGTCATCGTGAGATCGGACATAATTGACCCAAGCGCAGCCTCGCGCTAAATTGTGTCTCCGCTCAATAGCTTGAGACAACATTGAGGCGTCTTTGGTTGCCAGCGCTTCCCACGTCAAGGCCATCTGAAGCGGATTGTAAGACAACTGGCACTCGTACCGGTCGATGTATTGTACCACAAAGTCGGGGTGGACAATGGCCTCAGATTTGAAAAGCACAGACGGGGCTGCAATCCGACATAGAGCGTTGAAAGCTCGAAGCAGTTTGTGAACCTCTGGCAGATTCTCACAGTCCGTGTTCATCTGTTTCCACATGAATGCAACGGCATCCATCCGGAAGAGGTCGACTCCAACATTGGCCAGGTACAGCATCTCGCCGGCCATGGCTCTGAATACCGCCGGGTTCGAGTAGTTGAGGTCCCACTGAAACTGATAGAAGGTCGACCACACGAATCGGCCGTCCCCAAGCTGGATGAAGGAGCCAGCGTGATCGTCTGGGAAAATTTCTCGGGTTGACCGTTCAAAGGCCGAGGGAACATTTCGATCAGGGAAGACCCAATACATGGCAGAATGCTCCGGATCGCCTTCAGCTGCGCGCTTTGCCCACCGATGCTCGTTCGAGGTATGGTTGAAGACCAGATCAAGCACTAAGCTGATTCCTGCTTTTCTCAACTCAGTTGCCAACTCCCTCAGCTCCTCGATTGTCCCCAGTTCGGGCTGTACGTCTCGGTAGCTGGACACAGCATACCCGCCGTCATTGAGAGGTTGAGGTGCCAAGAACAAAGGCATCAAGTGTAGATATGTCAGTCCCAACTCTTTGAAGTATGGGATGCGCTTTTTGATGCCAGCCAAGTTGCCAGCGTATCGGTCGACGTAGCAGACCCCTCCCAGCATTTGATTCGAGAGATACCACTCGGGGTCAAGTTCTCGCTGTTTGTCAACCTCTTGTAAGTCAGGGGATCTGTCCTGCCAACTCTTCCCGCACATAGTTATCAGATCGACGAGTTGATCAAGGCAATCATGTCGGTAACCATACAGCTCGGCAAAAATGGCAAAAATGGTGATGAAGTTCATGTCAAGCCTGGCGAAAAAGTCCTTATCCTTGAGAATCGAGATTCCAACTTTGGTCTTACTTAGCTCCTGGAGTATGTAGGCTTTGGCGGCTCGCGCCTGTTGCTCGATAGAGAGACTGTTCATGGGTGGAGGATGCAAGCGTGTAATTTCTTTGTGCCGCGAAAGATGCTGGTGAGACGCCGAGGGCAACTGTACAAAGGCCACGGGAACCGTCAGTAGTGATGAAAAATGAGAGATCATGATTACCTTTTGGGTATTTGAGTCTTTTCGAGTTGGCCTCCCCTGAGAGTCCGGCCGTGAGAGAATTCATCGTCGGCTTCTAGAGGCTTTCGGGTGTTTTCTTAGACGTCGCCATCGTCATGGAGCTTGATCCTGTGCAAAACGTCCTGCCGGCGCTTCTCTCGGCCAAATTGTGCCTTTGCCAATAACGCCGAGCGAGCGAGCGATTGACTTGGTTAAACCCTCTTAGAGCTATTTGCACTTTTCAGAGGACGCAACCATATGAGCATGAAGTTTCTGAGGGCATTTTCAGGACACCTTGAGAGGGACGGGGGCAGGACATGGGCGGTAATAAGAAGATGCGGGTTTTTTGACGGGTGGGATGTAACCAGAAAGGACAGCACGCTGGACTCTATTGCGTCGGAAGACTCTTAGGTGGTTAACCATGAAAGGACGTTATCCCTCACGAATCTTGCACACATGTCCACCATTGAAGAAAGATATTTGTATATTTCCCAAGTTGCGCGGTATTTGGTAGGATGAATTCTGTATTCAAACAATACAAGAGATCTATTATGCCTCATGCATCAGCCCTCAGGCTCTTGGTTACACAAATGCCTTATTCATTCCATCAATCCCTGAGACCTCCTATTCTCCGGCTGTGAGGCGCCACAACGCACTGAAAACAAAGAAAAGAGGCAGCCAAAACCACGCTCATGGGTTTTAAATCATCCGCCAAATGTGTACAATGCTAACCAATTCCTTGGACCTGCTCTTCAAAATGCAGACACAGCAACAGCAATTGCCTGGCTCTCACTGTGGCTGATGCTGACATTGACGTTCTTGACGCCAGCCTGCTTTGCTGCCTCGAGCGCCGCACCATGGAGAGCAACCTTGGGTGCTCCGTTCTCATCGGCCAAGATTTCAATGTCGTGCAGAGGGGCTCCAGCTCCCTTGCTGCACACGCCCAAAGACTTGAACACTGCTTCTTTCGCACTCCATCGTCCTGCATACGAAGCTTGAGGAGATGGAGCCTTATTGCAGTAAGCCCGTTCCTGCTCGGTGAAATTTCTCGCGACAAAAGTTTCGTTCTCGATGTTAATGGCTCGGATGTCCTCGACATCAACACCAATCTTTGATCCTTCTGTGGCGTTAGCTTGCGTCAGAGACTCAAGCATGGCCTTCGTCTCCAGGGCGTGGGGGCTTGGGGTCTTCTTGGGTAGGGCAGGATGGTAGACAAGCTCGCCAGACTTCTTGTCGGCAACTACGCGCTGCTGAGGGTTGAGGAAAACTTTCTGCATGATCTCGTCCGGATACGGTGCCTTGGTCTTCGCAACGAACACAGTGTTGTTGATCATGCCGTTGTGGAGGTATCTGTACGCTTTCTTCTGTCTGGCCTCAACCTTGACCTTGTAACGCTGGAATTCCGCCTCATCCAGCGTAGCATAAAGGTACTTGGGGTGGATACCTATGGCTTGGGCGCCTTTCTGACCGAAACCAAAGGAAGTGACAGAGAATGCTTTGATGCCATCGGTCTGCAGGGATCGGCTTGGGTAGACGATGTAGTCGAATTTCTCCATCGCCTGATCAACATTGTCGGCATTCCGGTTTCCAGGAACCAGACCGCTGTTGAGGACTTGCAAGCAGCCGTTGAACATCCAGGCGCCGGCGGCACCCTTAGGATGACCAGTCAGGTACTTCTGGAAGATACCAAGCATGGCATTGCCCTTCTTGCGGCCAAGGTGCGCCATTTGTTTGCAGAGAACCTCAGATTCGTTCTTGTCGTTGGCAACGGTCGAGGTACCGTGGAAGGAAGCAACATCGAGGTCATCGATCGTGAGGCCCCAAGTAGCCAGGGCGCCACGGAGGGGAGCAATGGTGGGATCTTGCTTCCAGAAATTGTTGCCTAAGCTAAACTGTGCCTCTTTTTCTTGTCGGATTGCCTCGCGTTCAATATGCTCGGCTCGCTCTTGCATGTACTCGGCCTCGTTGAAACCGAAGCCGGCTTGAGCCTTCATAGCTGCAACTTCCTCGTGGAGGTACAGAAGTTCGGACTCTTGCCAGTTCTTAATGGCACGTCTTCGGAGCTCGAGCTGTCTCTTGCGGTAGTTGATGTCCAGCAGGGGCGATGGGAATTTGCCAGGGTTCTCCCGAGCGGTGGTCAACACACCTTGCCCAGGAGCAGGCACAGATCGACCAATCTTGTCGGTAGCAGTCGAGACAAGGCCGAGAATACCGTAGATAGGCGTTCCCATGTCTAGAGCAAGGCGGGCCGACATAATGATTTGCATACCGCAGCCTTGGGATTCCATGAAGCCGTTTCGGGTCGTAGTAGCAGGTCGAGACATCTCCTTGGGCGTACGGCCGTGGGCAAATTCGTCTTCAGCGTTGCTAGTGGCCTTCATGTTCGCAAATTCGTAAGACCCCTCTTCTTGGAAGTCATCAAAGCCACCAACGAAGCAAACACGCGCCTTTCCTTCGACGATAGTCTCGTAGCCGATATCAATTGATTCAACAGCTGTTGCACAAGCACCCACAGGAGTCTTGATCGGACCAGTTGATGACAACAGCAACATGTTGACCCAAGCGGCCATGGTGTTGATGAAAGATTCCTGCAGAATATCCTTCTGAACGGGCTTGTCCATGAATCGATCTTTGTACATGCCACGAAGTGCGGTGGTACCACCGATGCCGGAACCGACGCAGTTGCCTACCTCAGACAGATGTACGTACTTGTAGAACTCGTATGGGTCCGTAACACCAGCTGAGAGGAGAGCTTCCGCTGTGCAGACAAGGACAAACAAGGTGACTTGGTCCACTTGCGATATGATGTCGTCCGGAACACCATACGTCTTGGCGTCCCAACCAGTAGGGATTTGACCAGCGACAAGACGATCAAATCTCAGGGCTTTGGGGATTAGAAGGGTTGCCCCTTTCTTGAGGCGGACGCTGTACTCTCCAGATTCCAGCTCAAAGACCTCGACCTTGTCGCCGTGCTGTCGCTTGAATTCTTCAGCAGTCTCCTTGGACGATTCGAACTGATCAAGGTCTTCTTCGATTTGGATTTCCTGGAGCAGCTGCTTCTTCTTTGGATCATAGCCATTGAACAATTCGGGCTCAATAAGACGGATACCAGAGTGTTCGAGGATGTGCTTCTCATATTTGGCTTTGACATCCTTGTCGTCGACAGGCTCGCCAGTCTTGGTGTCGACCCAGCCGGAATATGACTTGCCCTTGAGAGGGCCATTGTGGTTCTTGATCAGGCCCATCATCCAGGCCATCTCGACGCAGCCCTCCAGTGAGAATTCACCGTAGGCTTCCATTTCCCACCTTGTGCGAGAATTACCCCAAGGGCCAACCTCAGAGAAGCCAGTGACCACAACAACCTTGTCAAGATCAACCATGCCCTTGAGCTTGGCGTTGAGAGGTTCCACTTCCTTCTGCCAGTCGGGAAGCTCGGGGAATTCGAATTTCAGGTTGGCTCTGGGCTCAATGGTAACTTTCTTGTAAAGGGCCTCGCTGTCCTCGCCGTTGACAACCTTGTTCTCCAACGCGGTCTCCTTAGTCACGGCCTGTCGGATGGCGCTTGTCTCCATGATCTCAGCTCGAAGCTTAGTCATTAGGTCCTTGAGATCTGGCAAGAATTGCAGACCGCCGTTCAAATCGGCAAAGACAGGTTCTTGTTGGCATAGGTCGACAATGGCAGGAGACATTAGGCCAAGCAGGTTAAATGCCATCTCTTGTTGTGAGAAGGTCCGGACGCCGTACTTCTCAACTCCGTCGGCCACGATATTGTTGCCGCTCATCAGACCGGTGCCACGGGTCCAGCCAATGACTGCGCCGCAGATTGTGAGATAGTCACCCCAGCTCTCCGAAGACCAACGGTTGAACAGAGTCTCCAATGCAAGCTTGGACTCAGAGTAGAGACCGTCGTTACCAAAGGTACCGTGGTTTGGTGAAAGAGGAAGCATAACTTGAGCCGGTCGAGTGTTGAAGCCACTCTCGAATTTCTTCGCTTTGACGTAACCAAGAAGACGGATCAGGTTGGTCAACATGATACGGTGAGCAAGCTCCGACTTTGAATCGATACTGTCGATTTCGCGGCCATTCTCGGGTATAGCAGCGAAAGGCACAATGTAGTCCAGATCCCAGCCAAGACCCTTCTTGGTATCGTAGATGTAGTCAATGAGGGCTTCCACGTCCTGCCTGCTTCCTTGGTTGAACGGCACCACGACAAGCTGAGAGCCACGACCACCAAATCGAGCATACATTGATTGGTAGTACTCAGTGACCTCACGGGAGTAACGGCTGGTGGTGACAACGACTTTGGCGCCACCGCTGATCAGACCCTGTAGAACTTCGGCTCCGATGGAACCGGCACCGGCGCCAGTCATGAGCGCCATCTTCCCCTGAAAGGTAAGGCCTGATTTCGCCGCGTTCTCCAATCCCTCGAGGTAGATGCCGGTTAGCTTCTTGCTGTACTCCCAACCGTGCTGTTCCTTCTTCTTGAGATGCAAGAACGGGATTGTCTCGGTCTTGCCTTGCTTGACATTTCCGTTCATGGTAGCTCGAGGTAATCCGTTGCGGCCGGGCTTCTTGATGTCGCCATTCTCCTGTGGCATGATCTGGGACTCATTCATCGCCAAAGCACGAACAACATCCTTGTACAAGGTGTTGAACTGCAACTGAGAAGCTTTTGATAGCTTGTGCTGCTTCCGGATCAACTTGTAAACATTGCGAAGGTCGTTCTGCACCTTGGTCCGATTGCTGTATTCGGAGATCTTGCCACCATCAGCCATCTCCCGCACATAGTGCTCGAGTTTGCGGGCGCTTTGGCGAGGAACTTCTTTGTAATCGAGGTTCCCTCGAGCGTCGATAGTAGTCTGGGGACCGGTGGGGACCATAACGTCCTTGTAGACCGGTGCTTCATTCAAAACATCCTTGCAGTTTTCAATGAGCTGCTCGCCTAATTCCTTGGCTAGTTTATAAGTCTCGCCTCGCTCGGTTGGGCAGTTGTCAATATGATATTGCATATATTCGATGAGGGTTGGGTTTGATCGGTTCATGATACGGATGCACTGACTAACAATTTCTCGGTCGACGGCCTTGAGACGGCCGAAAATGATGTCGTAGTACATGCTAAGAGCGTCTTGTCGAGCCCAGTTCCACGAGGAGTCGTAAACACGGGCTTTCAAGGGGCTGAATGAAGGTTCAATTCCCGAAGCGTAAAATTCGCCATGTTCTGTGTTCCACAGATCGAGTTGCGCTTGGAGGGCCTTGTTTGCCTCTTGTGAGCCGACGAAAGCCTTGTCACCGGCACGCAGATCCATCTTGAGGTAGCGGGCGAACAGTTCAAGTTGCTGTTTGAACAGGGCTCGTTGATCTTTGGTCAGAGCGTCAATGGCAGCTGGATCCATCATCATGCCAGCACCAGCGCCAGCAGCAGCAGCGCCAGCAGCTGAGGCTGATGATAGACTGATTCCTGCTGTTGCCGCATATTTCTGGGCCACATCACCGAGGTAAGTCTTGGCATCGTTTTCCGAGCCTAAACGCGAAGCTGGCTCCATCGTGAGAGCGAGCAGCAGAACACCGTCTTGTCGGCCCGGCCCAAGGCCAAAGCTATTTTCGAGATGCTTTCTGACAGCCGTGATATTGAAACCACCTGGCATTTTGGAAGCCACCAAACGAGCGATCAGCGACTGAGACTGCTTGCCTAGCTGACCATTGAATGTTGACTGCATAGAAGCACCTAGTTCGTCTAGAGGAGTGTCTTCTGGCTTCTCTGGCGTTGAACCAAATTCCTTGCCCAGGTCTCCGAGGATTTCGTTCTGCAGAGTCGATTTTCCTCCGACTAAATCCTTGATTGCTTTGCCGAGGGGAATATCTGCAAGTGGTTTCTTCAGTTTCTGGGCGACCAACGCTCGCAAGATGTCGACGGCTGCAACTGGAGCATCTGGCACTGCCACAGCAGGTCCAGCGCTGGCCGCTGCTGCTGGAGGAGCCGCGGCTGTGGTAGCAGGAGCAGGCGCCGAAGCCGCCGGAGCGGAAGATGAAGGTTGGGCAGCCGCTGGAGCAGCTTCCTCCTCTACCGGATCGACATCATAGTAAATTTCTTTCAGATCCTTATTGTAAGCCAACACTTGCCGTGATAGCGAGGTGGCAGCATCATAGGTCTCGTATTTGGAAGCAAGGGTTCTTTTGGCCATTCCGCCGAGGGTATCTGCGGGACCAATTTCAACAATTCTTTCTGTTCTATTCTTCTCGAGGATAACATCTTGGGTCTCAATCCACCTAACAGGCGAGGCAAACTGATATGCCAGCAGCTCGACGAGGAGCGTGTGGGCGAGCTCTTGCTCGACTTCGGGACGCATGTTGGGCGGTATATTGTAGAATTCAGCAAAACGTGAAGATTTATTGTTTCGAGTCTGAGGTTGGGACTAGGAGGTCGACCTATTGCCCGGTGCTGGATGAAGTTAATCAGAGCAGGGCAATGGGTGAGCACAGGCTGGGCCAAGCGAAAGGAACTGTGCTTCGTCTAAGAATCCGAGTCGGTAGCTGAATGGACGAAGGAGAGGATGAGATGTGAGGAGGAAGGACAGGATGCGGAGGAGCTGGAAGGAAGGAAAGTGATGAAGTGTTGGAACTTTCAATCTTCGGTTGTCCTGTGGCTTCGGGACAGAAAAAGTAGTCCGCAACAATATGGCGACAAGTCCACGGACAAGAGGGTTGAACAAGGTATGGGACCGATGAGGACAAGCGGCGAGAAAAGTGAGTTATGGCGATTTCGAGTTGGTTTTGGTTGGGATGGAATCTGTCAACCCTGTATGCTGTAGCCGGCCGCGGGTGAGAAAAAAGTGACGGGCCTCCCAGCAGGTCCAGGGCACAAGGGCAAAACGCGAATGCTGGAGATCTTGTTGGCGGGCTGGTTCAATGCACGAATCAGCCTGGTAAGCTTGAACCATTGTTTGTTGGAGACTGGATGGTTGAGAAAGGAGTGGGAAAGGGAAAAGAGTGGGCACTGTGGACACTGTGGGTAAGCCGAAGTTGGCCGGGCTGCCACTCGGCGAGTCTGGGCTCCCCCACGAAAATTTTTGGGGAGGCAAAAAAAGTGGTAGGCAGCCGAAGCAGCCTCTGTGCCCAGAGAGCAGCAGGAAATTGGAGAAGCAGTCTGCACGGCTACGTAACGTTGAGGTACGTCGATGTCACCTGTGGCTGGGCAACTGAAGCTCATCTTTCGAAAGAACACCGTATCCTTTTCTCTTTGCAGATACGAAAAACGAACAACTTAGTGCACCACCTGTTTGCAGCCGTAATCTCGCTGCCTATTTGCACCTACTCTTGATCTTGATTAGTATGGCAAGCAATGGATCACGCTGTCGTCGTCTTTTCCTTTCTTCCGTCAGAGGGTTGAGAAAAAGGCGATGACGCCGTTGCATCGGTCCCTGCAGAAGCGCGTTGCCCACCAGAATTTTAGCTTGGCCTAAAACGAGAAGGGGGCCTCATCCGGGAATTACCATTGGCTCAGATGTGGTGAGGGACCGCCCGGAACAAGGGTCCACAAGGCCCCGAGCGGCGTGAGGCTGGGCATGGATGGGCCCGAATCGGCTCGAATAGGTGTGCTTTGGGGTGCATTGGGGTTGCTGAGGCACCTGCGGCGAACCAGGAAAAACTTTTGTGCTTCGCTCAACAGACACACGCAGCAACTTCGGCCATATTCGTATCGCAAATTACCAGATCCATCCAACATTGAACTCCCCAATAATACACACAGCTCTTCAGTGTCTTCCGCTGCTCCAGTGGCCGCCTTTCCCTGCTCCTCAATAACTAATCCTATCGTCCTACTCAGCCGGACTCGCTTCCTGCTCTGCCATAACCTCGATCAGCGCACTCCTTCCAATTCCCCTCCTCACTCATTTCCTTCGCAACAATCCAGTCTCAAGTGGCATTAGCTTGCTCACTTCGATAGTTCAAACTCCTTCACACCCTCGCACAGAATCAGAGACACCCCATTCACGACAGCAACCATGTATTCCGGCGGTGCGACCGGTACTCACACACCTCGATCTTCCCAGAACCTCCGCCCTCTCATCCTCACCCATGGCTCTCTCGAGTACTCCTTCCTGATACCCACCGGCCTCCATTTCCAGGCATCACAGCTGAAAGATGCTTTCAATGCCTCACTCCCCGAACCTACAGATGAGCTGGCCCAGGATGACGAGCCTTCATCAAGTGCCGAGCTGGTCGCTCGCTACATTGGCTTCATTGCCGCTGAAGTCGATGACGACGAGGAGGCCGCTGGCTTTGTTGAAGTGCTCAAGGTAGCCCTGAACGAATTCGAGAGAGCTTTCATGCATGCGAATGATGTACACGCTCTGGCCGCAACGCTACCCGGGATCACAGCAAAGAAAAACCTGCTCGTTCAATGCTACTATGCAGGCCGCGCAGCAGTCGCACGACCCATTAAACCCCACGACTCAGCTCTACTCAGAGCCGCAGATGACGAGGAGGCCAGTATCTTCACTGTTTTTGGCGGTCAGGGCAACATTGAAGAGTATTTTGAGGAGCTGCGAGAGGTCTATACCACATACCCGTCTTTCACCAGAGATTTGATTGAGTCCTCGGCCGAGTTGTTGCAGACTTTGGCCAGAAGTCCGAAAGCAGACAAATTCTACACCAAAGGCCTGGACATCCTTAGTTGGCTCGCTGACAAGGAAACCCAGCCCGACACCGATTACTTGGTTTCTGCGCCTGTCAGTTTGCCACTGATCGGACTGGTTCAGCTTGCCCATTATCAAGTGACCTGTAAAGTCCTCGGGAAGACGCCCGGCGAGGTCAATGAGCGCTTCAACGGCACGACAGGCCACTCGCAGGGTGTGGTTACCGCTGCCACCATTGCCACAGCGACCTCATGGGAAAGCTTCGCAAAAGCCGCCAGAGATGCCATTACCATGCTCTTCTGGATTGGGATGCGGAGTCAGCAGGCCTATCCTCGCACGAGCATTGCTCCGTCAATCCTCCAAGACTCGCTCGAGGCTGGGGAAGGCACTCCCACACCCATGCTTTCGGTGCGCGATCTGTCAAAGAAGCAGCTTCAAGAGCACATTGATGCCACCAATGAGCATCTGCCCAAGGACCGACATATTGCCATTTCCTTGGTAAACAGTGCCCGGAACTTCGTTGTGACTGGTGCTCCCATCTCTCTGCACGGCCTTAACCTCCGACTACGAAAAGTCAAGGCTCCTACCGGTTTGGACCAGAACCGCATTCCCTTCACGGAGCGTAAAGTGCGCTTTGTCAATCGGTTCCTGCCAATCACTGCTCCTTTCCACAGCCCTCTTTTGAGCGAAGCATACAAGCAGATCCTCGAAGATCTGGGCGACCTCAGGATCCCTGCCTCGCGTCTGAGCATTCCAGTGTATGATACGAACACCGGCGAGGACCTCCGCGCCCAGCAGGACAAGGATGTGGTCCCAGACCTCGTGCGGATGATCACGCAGGATCCTGTTCACTGGGAACAAGCTACAGTTTTCGAAGGCGCCTCTCACATTATCGATTTTGGCCCTGGTGGAATTTCAGGCCTGGGAGTCCTCACCAACCGCAACAAAGATGGTACTGGCGTCCGCGTGATTTTGGCAGGTGCCATGGATGGGACGAATACTGAAGTCGGATACAAGCCCGAGCTCTTCGACCGCGATGAAGAGCATGCGGTGAAATACGCAACCAACTGGGTCAAAGAGCATGGACCCAGACTCGTCAAGACGTCCGTCGGCCAGACTTACGTTGACACCAAGATGTCCCGCTTGCTGGGTGTGCCGCCTTTGATGGTTGCCGGCATGACTCCCTGCACCGTCCCATGGGATTTTGTCGCCGCGACAATGAATGCTGGCTACCACATTGAACTAGCCGGTGGCGGCTACTACAACGCAAAGAGTATGACCGAAGCGCTCAACAAGATCGAAAAAGCTATCCCTCCAGGACGAGGCATTACGGTCAACTTGATCTATGTCAATCCGCGTGCTATGGGCTGGCAAATTCCTCTTCTTGCTCAGCTCCGCGCTGATGGTGTTCCCATCGAAGGTTTAACGATCGGTGCTGGTGTGCCGTCGATCGAAGTTGCTCAAGAGTACATTGACACTCTTGGAATCAAGCATATTGCCTTCAAGCCTGGCTCCATGGATGCAATTCAGCAAGTAATCAACATTGCCAAAGCAAATCCGACATTCCCTGTCATTCTGCAGTGGACTGGTGGCCGTGGTGGTGGTCACCACTCTTTCGAGGATTTCCATCAGCCGATCATTCAGATGTATGGTCGTATCCGAAAATGCCAGAACATCATCCTCGTGGCAGGCAGTGGTTTTGGTGGATCCCAAGATACTTACCCTTATCTGACTGGTACCTGGTCGCGCAAGTTCGGCTATCCGCCTATGCCGTTCGACGGTATTCTCTTTGGTAGTCGAATGATGACGGCAAAAGAGGCCCATACTTCTACCAACGCGAAGAAGGCCATTGCTGAAGCTGAAGGCGTTGACGATACTGAATGGGAGAAGACATACAAGGGACCAGCGGGCGGTGTCATCACCGTCCGGTCAGAAATGGGTGAGCCGATCCACAAGCTTGCGACCCGCGGTGTCAAATTCTGGGCAGAAATGGACCAGAAAATCTTTAGCTTGGACAAGAAGAAGCGAGTCGCAGAGCTTAAGAAGCAGCGCGAGTACATCATCAAGAAGCTCAACGACGATTTCCAGAAGGTTTGGTTCGGCAAGAATTCTGCTGGTGAAACCGTAGACCTTGAAGACATGACCTACGCTGAAGTGGTTCGGCGCATGGTTGAGCTCATGTACGTCAAGCACCAGTCTCGTTGGATCGAGGTCACCCTTCGCAACCTCACTGTCGATTTCATTCGCCGAGTAGAGGAACGATTCACTGTCGGCTCCGGGAAGCCGTCCCTGATCCAGAGCTACGCAGAATTCGAGAACCCTTTCCCAGTCATGGATAAGGTCCTGGCAGCCTACCACGAGGCCGAAACTCAGTTGATCAACGCGCAGGATGTCCAGCATTTTCTCTTGTTGTGCCAGCGGCGCGGTCAAAAGCCTGTGCCATTCGTCCCCTCCTTGGACGAAAATTTTGAGTTCTGGTTCAAGAAGGATTCCCTTTGGCAATCCGAGGATCTGGATGCTGTGGTCGATCAAGATGTCGGCAGAACATGTATCTTGCAGGGCCCTATGGCGGCGAAATACTCAACCAAGGTTGACGAGCCAATCAAAGACATTTTGGACGGTATCCATCATGATCACATTAGGGGTCTGATTCAAGACTTCTATGGTGGACGTGAGTCTGCTGTTCCAGTCATCGAGTACTTTGGTGGCAAGATCATCACATCCGCAGCGAGCGTGGTCGAGCTGGACGGCGTCACTGTTATTCCCGACGGCTCTCGGACCACATATAGGCTCTCAGCATCGCCATCCGCCACACTTCCCGATGTTGATGCCTGGATCCAGCTTCTTGCTGGCAAAAATTACTCATGGCGACACGCATTCTTCACAGCCGATGTTTTCGTTCAAGGCGCTCGTTATCAAAACAACCCCATCAGGCGTATCTTGGCCCCCACCCGAGGCATGACTGTCGAGATCGCTCACCCCAAAGACCCTTACAAGACCACAATCATTGTCAAGGAGCACAGCCAGTCCGGAAAGATGGTCAAGACGCTCGACATTAGCCTGTTGGGCAAGAACGAGATCGCAATGAATATGTGGGAAGAGCGAACTGCAGAGGGTGATGCTGTTGCCCTCCCATTCCGATTCATCTACCACCCTGAAACTGGCTATGCCCCAATCCACGAAGTAATGGATGGTCGCAACGATCGCATCAAGGAATTCTATTATCGGATTTGGTTTGGTGAAAAGGATGTGCCATTTGATACACCTACCACGAACGTCTTTGATGGCGGCAGAGCGACCATTGTCACTCAGGACGTTGCTGATTTTGTTCATGCGGTAGGTAATACCGGCGAAGCTTTCGTCGACCGTCCGGGCAAGGAAGTTTTCGCACCCATGGACTTTGCAATTGTCGTCGGCTGGAAGGCCATCACCAAACCGATCTTCCCTCGAGCCATCGACGGCGACCTGCTGAAGCTTGTCCATTTGTCGAATGGCTTCCGCATGCTTCCTGGCGCGGAGCCTTTGAAGGTTGGCGACGAGCTGCACACATCTGCCCGGATCAATGCGGTGCTCAACCAAGACTCTGGAAAGATGGTCGAGGTTTGCGGCACCATCACTCGCAGAGGGCAGCCGGTGATGGAAGTAACCAGCCAGTTCCTCTACAGAGGTACCTACACGGACTTCGAAAACACCTTCCAACGCAAACAGGAGACGCCGATGCAGGTCACTCTCGCTACTTCCAAGGACATTGCCGTTCTCCGGTCCAAAGAATGGTTCCATCTCGATGAGCCGGACATTGACTTGCTGGGACAAACTTTGACGTTCCGTCTGTCGAGCTTGGTCCGTTTCAAGAACAAGACCGTCTTTTCGAGCGTCGAGACTGTTGGCCAAGTCGAACTTGAATTACCTACCAAGGAAGTCATCCAAGTTGCTTCAGTCGAGTATGAAGCAGGCGTCTCGCATGGGAACCCGGTGATTGACTACCTCCAGAGGAACGGCCAGACCATTGACCAGCCCGTCAACTTTGAGAACGCGATCCCGCTGAGTGGCAAGACTCCTTTGACTCTGAGGGCTCCGGCTTCAAACGAGACCTACGCTCGTGTATCTGGCGACTACAATCCCATCCACGTGTCGCGTATCTTTGCCAGCTACGCCAACCTTCCTGGCACCATCACACATGGCATGTATTCCAGCGCTGCCGTTCGGAGCTTAGTTGAGACGTGGGCTGCGGAGAACCATATTGGTCGTGTCCGAAGCTACCATGTCTCGTTGGTTGGCATGGTACTGCCCAATGACGACTTGGAAGTCAAACTCGAGCACGTCGGCATGGTGGCTGGTCGGAAGATCATCAAGATAGAGACGACCAATAAAGAGACCGGCGACAAAGTTCTCCTCGCGGAAGCTGAGGTTGAGCAGCCCGTGTCATCCTACGTATTTACTGGTCAGGGCTCGCAGGAGCAAGGCATGGGCATGGATCTCTACGCCCGCAGTCCCGTGGCGAAGGAAGTGTGGGATCGAGCTGATCGGCACTTCATGGACAACTATGGTCTGTCCATCATTAACATCGTCAAGAACAACCCCAAAGAACTCACCATCCACTTTGGAGGGCCGCGTGGCAAAGCCATCCGTCAGAACTACATGGCAATGACATTCGAGTCCATCAATGCTGACGGCTCCGTCAAATCGGAGAAAATTTTCAAGGAGATCAACGAAAACACCACGTCATACACCTACCGTTCACCTACTGGTCTGCTGTCTGCCACGCAATTCACCCAGCCAGCCTTAACGCTGATGGAGAAGGCCGCTTTCGAAGATATGCGCTCCAAGGGTCTCGTCCAGCGCGACAGCAGCTTTGCGGGCCACTCTCTGGGAGAGTACTCTGCTCTCGCTTCCATCGCAGAGGTCATGCCCATTGAGAGCTTGGTGTCAGTCGTGTTTTACCGCGGGTTGACCATGCAGGTTGCCGTGGAACGTGATGAGCAAGGGCGCAGCAGCTACTCCATGTGCGCCGTGAACCCTAGCCGCATCTCCAAGACGTTCAACGAACAGGCTCTGCAATATGTCGTGGAGAACATTGCTGAAACCACCGGTTGGTTAGTGGAGATTGTCAACTACAACGTTGCTAACATGCAATACGTGTGCGCTGGTGATCTCCGCGCGCTCGACTGCTTGACCAATGTGCTTAACGTTCTCAAGATGCAAAAGATTGACATCCAGGCCTTGATGCAACAGATGTCTTTGGACGACGTGAAGGCTCACCTGGTCGAGATCATTGGCGAATGCCGCAAGAGGACTGAAGCCAAGCCACAACCGATCGAGCTGGAACGAGGGTTTGCCGTCATTCCACTCAAGGGCATTGATGTTCCCTTCCACAGTACCTTCTTGCGATCCGGAGTCAAGCCATTCCGTTCTTTCTTGCTGAAAAAGATCAACAAGACGAGCATCGATCCGGCGAAATTGATTGGGAAGTACATTCCCAATGTGACGGCAAGACCATTTGAAATTTCCAAGGAATATTTCGAAGAGGTCTACCGATTGACCAACTCACCTCGGCTGGCGAAGATCTTGGAGGATTGGGAGTCGTATGAGAATGCCGGAGATGCAGGTGTCAGACGGCTCTCGTCAACGGTGGCATAATTATCTAGAGCAGTGTCTTTGACGGTTGATGGGGCGGGGGTTGTTTTTCTTTTCCGAAGGTCTTTCCGAAAACGGAGCGAGTCTAGCGAAAAAGAAGGCGCTTGGGAAGTTGAACAGGGTATGCAATGGGTCAGCATGGGTGAACTATAACAGCATTAGATTTCTTTTTTTTTCCCCTCATGTAGGGATAGTGGCGAAGACAACAGGTCCAGCATATGTACCACTTGGAGATAATGAAAGCGGCATTCATTACTCTCAATCAATCTATCAGAGTGTAACGGAGTACAGTTCTTCCTGTCGCAAGACCGAGTGAAGAATCCTCGTTGGCTGTCTGCTGCTATATATATATATCCCAGCCTCGACTAACGAAAGTGAAAATGAATGCAAGCCATCAGGATCTATACCCAGATCATTACCTTGCTCGTTTCATTTTAAGACAGGAGACTTTCTGAGCGCTGCCCTGCTCTTTTTTCTCTCCTTTGTATGGTGTTCAGTGGCACAGATAGAAGAGATATACACAGGTCTTGTTCCATGATCCTTCTGAACAAGAACAGAGCATTCAATACACTCATTTGGACCACAACAGCCACGTTCTTTCACCTTCAATATTCCACCAGATCCAGCCAGCCAATTTTTCAATCCCAGCACACGAGGAAGTAAGACAACAAAGATGGCCGACATTGACGTTAAGAGCCAGACCTGTCACAATGGAAAGGAAGGTGCCGTTGCCTCGCCTAACGCCCAGGAGGCGGCGGGAGAAAAAAGAGAGGACAGGGCCCTTTTCAATTATGGCTATATTATTATCGCGGTTCTGAATGCGATTTTCTTCTCCTTGACACTTTATGGTACGTATCCCATAAGCACCACCATGACTTGGACAACGATTCATTTATCTTTTATATATACACCTGGGAGATTCGTAATGCTCTCTGGTGCTCTGCTTAGCCTTGAGATTCCAACAGAGTCGGTCACGTGGCAGCTTTACGCTTCCACCTGTCTCGTGTTATCTTCCTTGTTGGGTCTCCTTCTGACCTCCCTAAGGTCAGGTCGTAACATCATCGACGACTAAAGCCCTGAGGTCCTCATATTGTTTATTCTATTTTCACTCGAATCTAGCTCGTGCATCGTCGCGTCCTTCAGACAGTCCGACGAGTCGGTCGTATTATTTATGCGTGGTTACACCGCTTCCTTCGGTATGGATCCTCTCACGAGCTTGATCTATAAGAATGTTTACTACTCGGCAAGATTCCTACACCAGCCTCTAGACTTTTTGACCTTACAACAAGCCGGCTCCGTCCCTTGGGATTAGGGTGGTGCCGCTCTAGGCGGATTGATATCACGTGATGTGACTGACATTGGAGTCCATCGCCTAAATTCGGCAAACCACGTGATGTTACTTGGTCAAGAATTCGGCTCAGCCCTTCCTAGACACCCGATCCGAGTACTTCCTTGGTCAATCTTCGTACGCTACAGAATCGTAATTGCCATGTTGAGACGAAGGGCGCCGAGAGCGTGCACAATCTGCCGCAATCGTAAAGTACGGTGCGATGTCTCGAGGAAGGGCACTCCATGCTCGAATTGCTCGAGAGCTTCTGTTGTTTGCTCCGTAGACAACGCATGGAAAGAAAAGCCAATGCAGCATCCTGGCAAAAAGAGTCTGCCCCCGGCCAACGTTTACACATTCAAACTTGGAGCGCCTGCTGCATACGACACAGCTGATCATGAAACAGTCTCTGCTGAAGCAACCGCCGGCGGGCAAGTCCCGCCAGGGCGTCTTCTCAACGATGCTACGCCGGTGGAATGGCGCAGGGGTGGCGAAATTGCAGATACATCTCTGTCGCTAGACCAACCTGAACTTCCGAGCTACATCGCACGTCTTCCTGGTGGGCTTGACCGCGATGTCCTGCAGCTGCTACTACGCAGGGGAGCCCTTACAATTCCCAGCAAACCGATGATTGATGAGCTGCTGAGAGTGTTTCTCTGCTACGTATATCCTTTTACTACCGGCTCTGGATCTGGGCAGTTTCCTCAGCGCCATAGACGGTACAAACAGCGACAGCATCAGCGTGGTGCTGTTTCAAGCAGTGATGTTTGCGGGAGTCACCTTTGCAGATCTGCCTCATTTGCAACGTGAGGGGTTTCAAAGTTATAGCGACGCCCGGAAAGTCTTCTTCAACCGGTAAAAGCTCCTGTATGAAATGGATGTCGAATCAAACCCTACGACGATGATTCAGGTACTGCTTTTTATGACTTACTGGTACGGTCAGCAGAATGATACAAAGGGTCGATTTTACTGGCTGCGAACTGCTTTCTCTTTGGCCACTGATATTGGCTTGGACAGACAGCACCAGTTTTCAAATCAGTCGGACCGGCAGCGAATGAGGCGAAAGTTGTGGTATTGCTGTCTAATCAGAGAGAAACTTCTATCCATAACGGAGCGGCGGCAAACTGCACACAGTTGCAGCGGCGGAAACCCCGAGATCGTCGAGCCAGATAACTTCGATGATCCCTCTTTCGCCTAGGCATTGAGCAAGTACTATATGCCTGGCCATAGGGTGGAAGCAATAAGCATGGGTCAATTATGCGCGCAGAAGGTCAAATTGTGCCTTATCATTGGACGTATTCTCGATTCGCAATACGAATTGAGCGGCGTACGACTCGTCGATTCAAGCGACCCGTTCATGGTCCTGATACCGAAAATGAAAGTCCTCAGTACCGAAGCAGCTGCTCGGGACCATGAGCTTCGCGAATGGTCTGCGGAGACGGCTTCTATAAGAGAGGCTGCCTTAGGACAGGATCATCGCCGCAATGGGAGAGTGCTAGGCTTACATTCTGCAACCCTTGAACTGCTATATTTGACTGCGCTTTGCGCCGTCCACCGCCCACTGCTCCTCCATGAACAACCAAAAGACTCTGCTGCTGAAGCTTTACAAAGCTTCTCCCGATCCTCTCTTCGATCTTCTGCGCGACGAATCTCGGAAATAGCCAGACATCTAGAGGAGAGCCATCTCATACAATTTTTGCCACCGTTGGCGGTGGGAGCCTTTATCGTGGCATCTATCCAACACCTCAAAGATGCTCTATCTGCAGAGGCAGAGCTTCGGGCCACTGGAAACTTGTATCTCAGGCAAACTCTCCAAGCATTCGCAGCTTTAAGACCGAAGTACAACTCCGCAGATTGTGCAATCGCCTTCATAGAGCGTGTCAGAAGCGGCCAACTTCCGTATCGGACTTTCGAGTGGGAGGATCGAGCTAATTCCCAGGCGCCTTATGATGAACATATGATGATCCGCGCAGATGGGGAGCCGGATACCATCACCATCGCACAGATAGGCGTAGACAGCACTCCTCAGCCGTTTGTTACACAGAACCCCAATGTGAGGTTGCTAAAGGACGGCAGACATCATCCCACCGATATGTCTGGCAACTCGTTCGGAAACGATGAGGACATCAATATACCCTACTTTCGGTCATCCAATCTTGAGGCCATTTCCGACTTGCTACTGTCAGCCCCGTTTGATGCTAACAATATCGACTGGGCAAAAATGGACTGGCATTATGTCGATAATATAGAGACTTGAGCTAGGAAATTGACAAATCGGCAAACATCACAGCACATTGGTTAGCGCTGTCGAGATCTGCATTGTCAATCTGGCATCTATGGAGTAGCAGCAATCTTCAGAATGAGCTCTGCGAGAGTCTCAGTCACGGTCAGATTCGGCACATGGTTCGAGTTCAGCTTATGTATGTCCACGTCCCTACCAGCCACAATCTTTATATTCTCGATGTATTGTGCCTGCAACGCCGGAGGCACAACCTGGTCTTGCTCGCAAAAGATGTAAGACGAAGGTATGTCCTTGAAAGCGGTATAGGTCACCACGCTAGCAAAGCTGAGCGCGGAATGCTTTGGCGCAGCTCTTGCCCAGGCAAGCGCTCGTTCTTCTGGCCAAACATCATACATGCGGGAACCGGACAAGGCAGGATTGGCAAGTCTCATGAATCCGTTCTCTGACAGTTAGCATCTCGAGTGTTCGCGATGGAAGCAGGGGCTCGAACCTCATCAGTCTTTACGATCGAAGGTGGAGGTTTGCCTTGATGACCGACTAGTGATTGTCCTTCTTGCAGGACAATAGCTGCCAGGAAGACTATCCTAGTGATACCCCCTTTCTGGCCTCTCGCGCACCGCTCCACCTTACTATGGCCTTTGGCAGATTCAGAGGCAACTAGGCCACCATATGAATGGCCAAGGACAATGATATCCTTCCCTTGGTCCGCGATCTTTCCGATGATGTTGCTGAAGAACTCTGTGTCGTCACTCAAACTTGCGGGCGGTTCTGGGGCGTTCCGACTCGCGGATGGCAGGTTGTTCACGTACACCTCGTGACCTTGTGCGACCAGGATGTCCTGAAGAGGGTAATACATAGCTGCAATGCTGAAAGATCCAGGGATCAGAAGGATGGCAGGCCTTGAGGCCATGGCTCAAACGTCGACGAGAGGGGATGGACGATAAGCGCCGAAACCGTGCCTCAGAATTCATGCTCGGTGCGGCTGGCGTCTTTTTAAAACATGCCATCGTGCCGGGTCTCGAAACCATGCGTGATAACATATGGGGTACTGTGCTTTACATTGCTAACAGCACAGGCGATCTCTGATTACTTCACATACTTTCACTTGTCAGCACGCAGAAGCATTCAAAAAGAGCATCCCGGCAGCGAGTCCGAGATAGGCAAGTCCGAAGCTGTGATCTTCGGCTTGCCTAATAAACTTTCGGGTCGGTAGCCTAATACAGTATGGGTTTGACCGAGCAGGTCGAGTGCCTACGCTCCTGGCGATCAACGCCGATGCCTTCGCCCTGGCAGTCTCATTGTGCTTTCGCTTCACCGGGTGAATACCTGTGGCTTAGTCATGACGCTCGATACCCAAGATTTCTCCTGTTCCCCATGGGGTATTTTGTGGTTTGCAAAGTTCGGATTCGACCGAGGCGAGCCTGTTGGGATCATGCATGGGAGGAGGCTTAAGGGGAAGTCGCTGTTGTCCTCCTACGCGTGCCCTCTATTCTATGTCCGATGTTGCAAACGCTTCGATATGGCCGTTGAAACAGAAGGAAGCCAGCTGAAGACTGCGCGGCCAGAAATCTCACTGGAGCATGAAGAGAAGGTTCAGGTCGGTCCCCAAGTTAATGGCGGCTCCCACAACGGCACCCAGGTCCATCAGTCCCGGTCGATTGACTTACGAACAATTCTGGGCTTACTGGTTCGTCCTCTACGCCGGTTGGACTATTTTTCGGCTGAAGCAGATCTAGGCTCTCGCCGTTACCTATGAAGCCTGCCTGTTCTCCTTCGCGTTGCCTTCAGCGATTCTCCTCACCATCAACGAGGATGTCGGCCCGTCGACCGACATCACATGGGCAGCTACCTCATGGGCACTTGCGAGCGCCGTCGTGATGACTATTGCCGGCAGATGCAGCGACATCTTTGGACGGAGGAATTTTTTCCTTACAGGGAACCTCTTGGGTGTCATTGGTTGTGCAATTGCTTGCAGGTCTGTCTCACAAGGAGGGGGAAAAAACAAGACCCGAATTCTCAAGCACACGGCCAACTGACGAATACAGGGCGATAAGCACGTCGTTGATCATACTCGGAAGCTCATTCCTGGTAAGCTGGATGTGACCGCTGGGGTCATCCCTTAGCTGACATTCTCTTGAGGGTCTTTCCGCCGGGCTCCAACAACTCGCATTTGCAGCGGCAAATGAAATCGTACCGAAGAAGATTCGTGGGCAGACCTTGGCTTTTATGAGTGTTGTGTCAATACCAGGGTCATGCTTTGGAGCCCCGATAGGTAAGTATTGTTAGCATCCATGCCCTGAGCTTTTATTTCGCTCCACGATTGATACGTCTTCTTTTAGCGTATGATCTCGTCTCCCAAAGCTCGTGGCGGTGGGCATACTGTGTGTCTCTGATCATCAACGTCGCGGCTTTACTTCTCATACTGGTCTTCTATTGGCCTCCAGACTTTCTCGGATTACGCCCAGACGGCAAGACGCGGCGCCAACAATTCCTCGAGCTCGATTTCATTGGGCTGCTCCTCTTTGGCGGCGGCTTGACCGTTTTCCTCGTCGGCGTCGGGTTTGGAGGCAATCCATATCCATGGACCAGTGCCGTCGTCCTGGCTCCGACCATCATCGGTGGCATATCCGTCTTCGTAGCATTTCCTCTTTGGGAGCTGTACAGCCCTGACAATATTGCAAAGCTTTGTCCACCTCGACTTATGCAAGACGTAAGAGCCGTCGTCGTACCTCTAGGAGTTTCCTTTACTGGTGGCATGGCCCTAATCAGCACGGGTATCTTGTGGCCACAGCAAGTGCAACGCCTATTCACCACAGTCCCACGAACTGTAGGTTGGTATGGCATGGCCACCAATGCCGCGGCAACTGGTAAGAAAGCTTCGTTCGTAATGTCTGCAAAGTGTGGCTGACACTCTGGTTCGAAGCTGGTCTCATCCTAGCCGGTCAGGCGTTCTCGACAATTCGGAAGACCAGGTACCAGTACATCTTTGTGGTTGTGATGATGACGACGTTCCTCGGATTGAACGCAACGGCCGACCAGGACACTCCCGCTCGCGCAATTGTATTCGTCGCTTTGGCCTCTGCCATGATTGGCGCCACCAACTGCATGAGTATACTGATTGCGCAGCTCGGAGCTCGCGACGAGGACATAGTGAACTGGGGCGAGGCTACTAGCCATGGGTATCAACTCGTACGGCGGTGGGTATAGCCTCTTCCCAACACGCACACTCAACTAGGGGAAGTCCTCTCTGTTGGTAACTTGGTTGATTGTCCATTCTATGAAGGATAGTCCCCCAGGACTATATAAGAAGAACCATAGTCTAGGGTCGGCGCCCCAGCCAATCATAACGCTATCCACCACTGCAAACTTCTCCCATTACAATAGGACTCGCCACTGGCCTGGTAAACTCCACGCGATCGACTGGAGGGGCGATTGGCGTAGCCATATATTCAAGCTTGCTCGCAAACCGGGTGAGCAGTATTTGGGCAAGAGACATCAGCAGAGCACTGGTCGAGGCTGGTTTACCTGCTGCTTCGCTGAAATCATTCCTCAGTGAGTTTTAGGTTGTACTACTGTTTCAGCGGACTGCTCACATTTGATAGCGGCTCTGCCACAAGGAAACTTTGAAAATGTGCCAGGCGTCACTCCGACCATTATCACAGCAGCGTTGGACGCCCAGAAGAGTGTTTACGCCGACGGTTTCAAGTTGGTTTATTGTGTCACTGTGGCCTTCGGAGGTGGGTATCATGGCTAGTCTTCCAACAAGGATTCTAATTCTAGTGCTAGGGCTTGCCATTTTTGGCGCGCTGTTCGTTGCGGACGTAGATAACAGACTCACTAAGTAAGTCCTCCTGTTGCAAGCGAACCGTCTCAATGTGACATGCTGATCCACGACACCTTCCAGGCAGGTCAACGTTCAGCTTGTCCGACCGCATCTGCGAGGCGGCGGAATGGGTGAAGCAAAGGTATTACGCGAGCTGGACAATTAGTTGAAGAGACTTCACCATACTATGTTCAACGCGATGCCCAAATTTTGCAAACACTGCAGTGCAACAGAAATGATCGATCCAATCTACTGGCACGGTGGCTGTCGTAGCCCTGCTGAATCACTACGGTTGTACTCCATGCATTGTACTTGTACATTCATAGCGCCTGCTGGACACCTAGTTCCCAAAAGGATGAGCAGGTAATATCTATCATGTAACGTTTAACCGGGCTGTGCCTGTATATAGGTGGCGCAACGCCCTACCTTCCCTTGTTCTCCTTATTTTAGTCTTCTCGTAAAAAATGGCAGTCTATAAAGCAGGTTCATTCTCGCGTTTCGTATGTGCCGTCACAATAGCGGCAGTAGCACACCTCATAGCAAGTGACACTTTTAGACGAATACATCCTACATGTTCATGACATTCTTCGGAGTTTACTAAATCTCAAGGCTTTCTAGTGACGGTAGACAGATACCCTTTCTAGCTGAGAAACCCTTCTGTAGACCCTTGTGCTGTAAGACCGCCGTTCGATTTAGGGTACCTCATATCGAGACATGGGACACCCGATCCCATCTTACACGACAGAGATGAAATGCGAAAGATTGTGCGCACCGCCATCACTGGGAGCTTATGTTCTGGGATCTTGGGGTCCCAGACCCTGTCCCTCGTCGACCGCCGCGTAAAGTTGCTGCGTTCCTCGCAGGGGAGACACATGTGCAAGGTGTGAGGATCCGATGAGAGCAGGGGACCGAAACTGGGACTGAGTATTGGTGAGCAGAGGGGGCGGTCGGGACTCAGCGGCTCAAGGCAAGGCTGAGCCGAAGTTGAGCCCACGAATATGACCTATGAGGCGGACCCGCCTTCTTTCACATGTGCTGAGGAAAGTATGAAAGTGTATTGAAACCAGCTAGATCTATTAAGACAGGAACGCCGCTTTTGTAGGTAAAGTTACTGGCGGCTTCGCTGTATTTACACATGCCTCGGAGAGTTCGGTGCTACTGACCAGTGCCGGGTCGACAAGACAAGTGGCGC